ATACATTAAAATACATGTTCAATGAATATATCGAGTTAAGGAGTTCGAGTTAACGAGGTTACACTGTACAACTTTGATAAAAGACATCGACCAGCCTCTAGTCAACAAATATAGATCTAGATATTTTGCAACACATCTCTACAAAAACTTGTACAGCTCTTATTTACTCTTCAGAACCTGAATGGATTGACGGACAGACAGACAGACAGACAGACAGACAGGTGGATTATGAGTTGAGAGTACTATCGAGACTATGAGCATTTCATCATTGTGTTCATGTGTTTTAGTCATGTCATTTCAAGCCCGTTCGTTTGAAAGTGTAGTTTACGTTTAAATAGATATCAAAGTTATACAATGTCACACATTTGATCTATAATGTTTGAACAACATCGTCCGTCATATTTATATCCAGCCCGCTCTCATTTCAGAGCAGACAAGAGATTTAGAAGACACCCATTTCTGTATCAAAACAATTGCAAATGGCGGCCAGTGTCATCACTATCGGTACTGCTGTCAAACTACGGCCAATTTCAGTACTTATCGACGTTCTAAACACTTTAAAATACAATAATTGCATTCTTAAATACCTTGAATATGCAGCCTTGTAAACATCTTGTCAGTAGAAGATCTTGAAACGATGCTGTAGTCAACGAAATGCAGAGCGATATGGAGCAAGAGCGATAGTGAATCTGTTCAAAACAGAGGGGACGTTGGCCACGACAACGGTAACCACGTTACCGAGACGAAGTCAGAACGAGGCGTCATCGTCCATTTCCGGCAAAGCTGACCCTGTACGGCTGCATGTCATGGGGGCCAAAGACTTAAAAAGGGGAAGCAGATAAAGTTGTGGTGGCCGTTGCCGTGGTTATCGTCGTTGATAAAAAGAAGGGCAGGTTCAGTTTGTTTTGTCGCCTTGGAAATCCCTAGCTAGTATCACCACTGATACACGCGGAGAAATAGTCTGACATGGGTGGTCTCCCTTTGTTCATTGGTAGAAAAGAAGCCCATTCCCCTCACGTACACGGAAGATAAAAGCTGTCTTAGCTGCTTGTTCAATCAGTGTGTTTGTTCGTTTATTGTTTACATGATGTGAGTAAGACATTAACGCCGGCCCCACAGCATAACCCAAGCTATATATCAGAAGAGAACAGAATTGTATTCTAAAAATATTACACGCTGTGACACGTGCAGAGAACATACATCATTACATCATACAGACAAGTCAGAAAGCATATACATCCCAGCTCCTCCACGTGTCAAGGCGACCCGTGAAGATCCGGGTTAGAATAGGTACTCAGCATCCTATTGATCACGGCTTCGAATTCAGTATTAACACTTGATTTGTGACATATTCGTTTGTATAACCAAAGTGTTAAAACTTCTAATTTCTGCTTTACTTTGGACTTTTCTCTGTCATTCAGCAGACATGCCGTGATATAACTGACATACTGTTCAAAGCCGCGTTAAACCAAACTCACTCACTCAGTTGCCCTGTGACAAAGGATCACAATACTTACACATCAGTTGATTAACAATGCAGTAAAATCAACACACAAACTGCAGCAGACGCACATACTATACACCTAGAAATTAATTAAGCACCTCCTGGCAAAATAAAGAACAGTGAAATACCCGTTTATAAAAAATCAAGTTTCATGATACTCATTCATAGAATGGCCGTCGATCTCGAGTATAGTCATGATAATAACTGACTGTGCCGCCCACACACACATACATCAGCAACCCATGCTTGCCGTAAAGGCGCCTGTGCTTGTCGTAAGAAGGCGACTAACGGGATCGGGTGGTCAGGCTCGCTGACTTGGTTGATGTATGTCATCATCCCAATTGCGTGGATCGATGTTCATGAGGTCAATCATTGGATTGTCTGGTCCAGACTCGATTATTTACACAGACCGCCGTCATATAGCTGGAATATTGCTGAGTGCGGCATTAAACAACAAACAAAACAAGCAAACACATACATATGAACGTGAAGCATGATACCCTACAGTTTCGAATTTCAGGTAAAGGTATATAAGGAGGAAATTATCCGATTGTTTAGTCAGCACATTTAACCATGATACGCAGGAGGCTATCAGAGGGACTTCGTGGGCAAGTTATTGGAATGCATGAAACAGGTATTCCATACAAAGCCAATGGACGTCGACTGAGCTGTGGTCATACTGTCATCAGCAGACTCGTAAGAAAAAACCGACAGATTCGTGAAATATAGGACCGCCCACGACCAGGGCCACCCGGAAAGACAGCTGTACGGGAAGATAGGATTTGAGTATGTCTCGTGAGGCGACAGCCCTTTGCTACAAGTAAAGCTCGGAAAAAAACAATGGCTTAAATTCCCAGTAGGCATCTGTCCACCAGAACTGTCTAACCGGCTAAAATCATTTGGGTTGAAGTCACGAAGGGTCATCAGACGTCCCTTGTTAACTGTTCATCATCAGAGACATCGATTGGCATGGTGTATTGGCTCGACGTCATTGGTATCTGAGGACGCGGCGACGGATCCATTGGTCTGATGAAAGCAGATTCTTGCTGCACGTCACTGATGGGACAATGCGGATTTGGAGACACAGAAACACTGCGTATACCCCTAGCAATATCTCATGACGTGAAACGGTAACAGTACGAGGCAATCTCAACGGCGATCGTTCCAGGACATTCTCAATCCTATTGAACCACATTTTAACAATCATGTACTTGCCAGTCGACCTGTGTTTATGGACGACAAGGCTGGACCCAATCGTTCTCGTGCTGTGACTGCATTTCTGCAAAGCCACGCTGACGACACTTTGCCGTGACCCGCAATGAGTCCAGATTTTAATCCATTGGAACATGCTTGGGACATTCTTGGACGTCGGTTGTAGGCAATGGATACACCAGTACAGAATGTTACAGCTTTAGAAGCTGTCTTGCATCGGGAGTGGCAGCAGTTGCCTCTTGATCGTATCAGAAGACTCATTGGAGGGGTGAGAAGGGTACACTCAAGGGTATTACCTTTGTAAGATAACAATGAACGTCTTTGGACAGTAACGGTCGTTCATACATGCTCGCGGAAGCCTTGCCTCGGGAAGATGGTCCAAGAGACTCAAGTGCGGTGCCAGCGTTTCTGCACGTTGAACACCGGAAGATGGGAGTATCAAAGCTGGAGTTGGCTTCTTTTTTCTGAATGCGAGATGACTGTGAGGCTCAACGTAAATAGTTACGTGAGAGTCGCGTCCCGCAAGGGCAGTTGTCTCCGTGCAGGCCTGTCGTACCTCGCCACCCTCTCGGCGAGCTGTGTATCGGTGGTGAGGTTAAGGACCACGCCCATGGGAGAACTGTGGATTTGGTGAGTGAGTAAGTGAGTATGGGTTAACGCCGCTTTTAGAAATATTCCAGCAATATCACGGCGGGGGACACCAGAAATGGGTTTCACACATTGTACCCATGTCGGGGATCGAACCCGGGTCTTCGGCGTGACGAGCGAACGCTTTAACCACTAGGCTACCCGACCGCCCCGTGGATTTGGTGGATGTTCTGGGACCCGAACCCAAGTCTACCAATATTTCTGGGTACATGCAAACCATCTCTGGACAAAATACGTACCTGCAGACCGCTCACATGTACCTACACAACGGTTTTAACATAAAACCTCACACAGCAAACCAAATAGTCGTTTCGGAAACCTGAATTACGTCAAAACCAACAGATGTGCTTTTGCTGAGGTTGAAATAATTTTGGGAAAGATGAAAAGGAGATGTTTGAAAAACACAGATGCCACACTCTAAAAAACTTATAAACGTCTGTAACGTCGGGCATAATGACATTCCTGGTGTAAATAAAACATCCGACATGGTAAATGATTTCTGGTACTGCTACAATGTATGCGGCCACTATATAAACAACATTATTGACCGTGTTTTCAAGATATGGTCAACCTGTCATATATGTTGTTTGCGGTCATGTCTGCAGATAGTACATGCAATAATGGTGGTAAATAACTAAACAGAGTGTCCCAGGTTTCTACTTGTAACATTTTCGGTTGTATGTGAATTCAGTTTTGGTAATAAACCGTTATGTTGGTTCGAAGGAGACTGACAGATATTTGGTCAACCTCACTGACAGTATATAGCGGGATCAGGTGGTCAGGCTCGCTGACTTGGTTGATGCGTGGATCGATGCTCATGATATCAATCACTGGATTGTCTGGTCCAGACTCGATTATTTACAGACCGGCGTCATATAGCTTGGATATTGCTGAGTGCGGCGTAAAACAACAAACAAACGTGTCAACATAAGGATACACGCCCTTGTATATACAGCAAACCCTTTGTGAGAGTTCCCTTCTGCCAAATAATATACTAGTATACATACAATTATGTTACAATGATGAAATATGTTTCTTCTTAGTAAAAGAGACAAAAAATATATTGGATTGCGACATTTCGTAACTTTTCATAAATACAAATCATTATATGAAAATGTGTGTCATTTTGATTTTAAGAAACGGGTGTCAGAATTCTTGTATTTCCCGAGCGAGAGCAAGCTATGACGTTGGCTCAAGTGTGACGTCGACAATGCCGTTCGGATCACGTAAACAAACTGGGGCGAGTGAAGAGATATTTGCACATACGATATTTATTAACTCGGTTATTTCTAACCGTGTTGGTGATAATCAAAACAGCTCATTATCTGAAGGGTTGTTATAATTCGGAAAAATAAATTAGTAATATTACAACATTTGTTTTGTTTTCATAAACCGTATACCCGTTTGATTGTATAGACAATAATTTGAATTAAGAATTAAGACAGTTCCACGTGCCCGCCTTTTTTTTTTATTGATATCCTTTCATTCATTGTATATCTAATTGAATTAATATCATATCTTTATTAATTAAATAAAACAATACGTACAAACGGCGTAACCAGTGGATTTCTTAATACTGTCGTTGAGCACACGTTTTAACAATGCGCTTTAACAGTTTCCGCATACCAGTTGAAGTCCCAGTTTATTCTATTCGCGACAATAAAAATGGCGGAAAACCCGGAAGTAGTTGTAGTGGAGCCGCAATTTTCGAAAATTGTAGATGGCTTGCTCGGCGCTGAAGGGCCAGTGTTTGACAAGAACGGGAACTTTTTTATGGTGGCTCCAGAAGTAGAGAAAGATGGAAAATTCGCTGGACAAGTATTGAAAGTGGACTTGAAAACTAAACAGGTGTCTGTTTGTTTACTTATCTTTGCCACGCCTCCTCTGCCACGAGTTTTTCAGTCAATATATCACAAGATACTTACAAACAATAATTTGGCATCCAAACATGATTTATTGAAATACACATGTTGGTCCATATTTAAATAAAATATCCACATAATACCTGATCAGCTGATTATGTATCTATATGTTGTATTCTACTGGACTAAATTAATCATTTAAGACAGTTTTGACCAAATAAAGGTAACATGAGTTTCGTGTTACGTCCCATAACATTTAGGTTTTACACATGCCTGAACTTGTTCTCAATATGTATTTCTGACTTGAGTATTCCACCTTCCATCTGGATGTAAACTCTTTACTACATTTTGACCTCAAGTAACCCTGAAACCCATTGACCATGTTGACAGTACCCTATCTGCATCTAGAGTATGATAAAGAATGGTCATGGAGAGAAATAAATAATAGAGGCCTGCATGAAGTGAATCTTCTGATTTCCTTGAAACCTAGGTAATGCCAGTTGAAAAACTATTATTGTTTATCACAACTTTTTTCTAATGCATGAAAGTAAACTTTACTCTTGTGCACCATGTGACCCCTTTGGCCTTGCCTCGTACCTCAAAGTATGAAGCGTCTCCGTGGTCTACTGGTAGAGCGTCCGCCTGGAGAGTTGAAGGTCCGGGGTTCGATCCCTGGTCGTGTCATACCAAAAGACGTTAAAAGATTGTACTTGTTGTTACCCTGTCTGGCTGGGCATTAAGGGGCTAAAACAAGGACTGGTCAGCTCGGAATCAGTATACTGTGTCTGAGTGGGGTGTCCATGTTAAACTGCAGCATGGTATCTCAGTGAGCTAGCACTACAAATCGGCATCAGTCCGGACTAGTACAAGCAGACACACACACAAACATGTCACTATATAAGTGCAATAATCTTGGACACAAAGTTAAACCCCATTTCACCTCACCTCAAAGTATGAAGAAATGGACCATGGTAACCACAGCTGGGTTACCATTCGAATCTGGCACACTATGAACAGCTGAACAGCATGGCATGTGTGCGAAATGTTGGAATCTGGTGCAAAAATAAAATTTGATTTTGGAAAGTAGTTTCTTAACAATGCTGTAAAAACAGTATTTGGAAGCAAGTTCAATCTTATGATTATGCAGTACCCAAGAGTAAGTGTTAAGTATATATATGATAGATTATAATGAATTGATAAATTTGAACCTCATGAGTAATAAGGAACAAAAAATATGTTTACGTTTGAGCCTAATCATAACTATAAACTAAGCTGAGCTTAGTCATGCACGTCACTGAGCCTTACACACACACACACACACACACACACACACAAACACACATATATTATACTGTATTCAACGTAATAAGCGCCCCGCTCTAATAAGCACCCATGTCGATATTTGCTAATATATTAACCAGTGAACAATCCCAATTAGCATCCCTTCCGATTGATCAATGTACACAGGACTTATTTGTTCGTGTACAATGCGCACTCGTGTGTTATATGCACCTTTAATTATGGGCAATTAAATTCTGGAAAAAAATATCTGTCGTGCATTATACACACAGACTTTTCTTTTGTTTCATTTCAGGTTGTTAGCATAAACCATGAAATTTACGATCTTTCAACTCTGTTTTTTTTCACCAAAATTATATTTTAATAAGAGCCCCCTATTTCTAATTTTGAGAGCACCCTGGGCGCTTATTACGTCCAATACAGTATATATTTCAGTAAATAAATAATGATCATAATAATGTATGATGTAAGTTTAATGTTTTCAGGGCACTAGAATTAAGATATTGATTTGTTTGTGTGTAGGTGGCTGTGTTGTGTGAGCCGGTGGTGGAGGGGGAGGGCGGCGTCCCCGCAGGGTGTCAGTGTGACAAGGAAGGGAACCTGTGGATCGCGGATATGAGACATGGCATCATCAAAGTCACTCAGGATGGACAGATGACGCAGGTATGTGTGTGTTGTGTTATTTACCATTACCAGCACATACTGTAAATCTTGAAATTAATGCGTCTCCAAATTAATACAACTGCTGAACCCTAGCCAAAAATGTGATTCAATATCAATGCGACTCCCCCCACCCCATCCCCAGTGGAATGATACACATCCTTACCTTAATCCAATCAAACACAAAACCACAGCTTATTAGCACTGAGAAGAGCACTTCGACAAAAACAAATGAACCGTGTTTTCCTAAAAACAACACACAGTTTATATGTTTACTCTGTTGAATGGCATTAAGGAAGTTCAAAGGCAATAAAATAACTGAACCAACAACAGTTGGTATACGGAGAAGGTGTGAACAAGCTTTGACACAAGTGGGTAGAACTCTTGACCCCAGCAGTGATAACTCACCAGATGCCTATTGTGTAATTCCTATTCTTTGAATGACATTGGTATATACTTGTTACAACTGCTGCTCAGTGTTTGTGTTTATATTCAAATTGGTATTTCCGCTATCCGAAATGTGCAGTGAGGCCGTCTTATTGTTGATAGTCATTTGGAGACATAAATGCGAAGTTAAGTAATGCAAGCAAAGACCACTCGCCTTTTTCGCATTTAATTCACGCTCATGTTAATTTCAAGATTTACAGAATACCACTGAAACAAAAGAAACACACAGACAAAGATGCAGTTCATCTGACAAAGCGCGTCCACCTTCCCACAATGCTAAAGTATCAACATGTTCTTTATAGCACTTTGTCTAGTCCGCATTAAATACTACTAAAAAATGTTAAGGACCCCCCCCCTGTCAGATTCTTTCATATTACTATGGTAACTCTGCCATGGCATGACAGATTAGCTATAATAACATGAAAGAATCAGGGGAGGGTGTCCTAAACATTTTTTAGTAGTGTTTAATGCGGACTTTACTTTAGCATTGTGGGAAGGTGGAAGCGCTTTGTCAGATGAACTGCATCTTTGTCTGTGTGTAAGTATGGTTTGCCTGTACCAGATCCAAACTTGAAGTCAGATTATTCCAGGCAGTGTTTCACCCATGCCCCAGAATTGATTGTTCGCTGTGCAGAGTTGCGTCCCTGGACAAGCCAGAAACCTATGAATGGGGGTTCGAATCCCGGTTCGCCCCGATTATGTTTCTAGGTTTGTCAGCACCATCCCTGTGCTCGTGGGTTTCACTGAAGTGGTAATCGTCTGAGACCTGCATCACTTCAGGCTTTCCTCCAACATTAAAGGGGAAGTGTACACGCAAAAATCACTTTCTTTCTTTTTCTAAACAAAACGCAATTTTAGAATTAGTTAGTATCTGTGTTTGAAAATATACACTCATTTCTTTCACAGTGAAAGTAGGAAGCTCACAATAGTGTTAAAATGATATGCCGTTATGAGGCCTTCGTTTTACGAGCGAAATAGGCCTGAGTTATCCCCCTTAGATTATGACGTAATTGGTGCCAATTCAACTGGGTCCCTGTCTATTCTCCACGCAAAAGATATCAAGGACCAGTTTGCGGTAAAACAACATGGTCTACGACACACTCCGGCGCAGTGGTGACTCAGCATAACACAATTCTGGCTGGCATCTGAGACGCTAGAATCACAAAACTGTACCTACACCACGTGAAGCGGCTCTAACAAAGCATGATGACATCATAATGTTTATCAATTGGCACCAATGACGTCATATTGCAAGGGGCATAAGCCATGGTGTTTTTGTTATGGAAATAGAACACTTGGTAAATGTGAAAAATATAAATCGTTTTAATGCAAAAAATATGTTAATTAAATATGATGTTTTTATATTTTTGTCTATGACACTTGTTTGTTAACACTTTTAATGTGGAAAAAGTACAAGAAAAATTGGTTCATTTCCGTGTGAACTTGCCCTTTAAGCTGACACGCCGTGATATAACTGGAATAATGTTAAAAGCGGCGTTAAACCCAACTCACTCACTCACTCACTAGAAGCAGAATAGCTCTATTTAGTAAGATGTATGTTATGAAACACAAGTCAAATGATTTGACGTATGAAACTATTGATGCTGCAGGTGTGCCGTCAGGACAGTGAGGGACGTCCCATGCAGGGCTGTAATGACTGCATATTTGACTACCAGGGGGCACTGTGGGTGACGGCGCCTGCAGGGGAGATAGCTCCAGCTCCTTACACAAGATCAATGGAGGTTTGTGTGATGTCAGTGACAGACCAGGGCGTTATCTAGACCACTCAGAGGCTATTTAACCCGAGAAGATCCGGGGCAGAACAGGTCTTCAGCAGCCAATGCTTGCCGTAAAAGGCGACTATGCTTGTCATAAGAGGCGACTAACAGGATTGGGGTGATCAGGCATGCTGACTTGGTTGATGCATGTCATCATATCCCAATTGTGTGGATCAATGCTCATGATGTCAATCACTGGATTGTATCGTCCAGACTTGATTATTTACAGACCACCTTCATATAGCTGGATTATTGCTGAGTGTGGCGTTAAACAACAAACAAACAAATAAACAAACAAACAGGCTATTCAGCCGTGTGTCTGCACTAAATGTCTGCATACTCCCCAAATTGGAATTAAGAATTCCCAATTCATGTTGATATAGATATACCGTATTTGACTTTGTATAATAGGTACAGACTTTTCTTTTGTATCATTTCAGGCTGTCAGCATAAACCACAACATTTCTGATCTTTCAACTCTGTTTTCTTTTTCACTAAAATTATATTCTAATAAGAGCCCCCTATTTATCCCCCGCCGCGCGAAAGCGCGAAGCGGGGGATATAGTATTCACGACCGTCCGTACGTACGTCCGTACGTCCCACCTGTTTCTTGCCGCGATATCTCAAGAACTAAACACTGGATTGTCTTCATATTTGGAACTATGGTGTATATACAGACTCCGCAGACACCAGTCGGTTTTGGTGACCTTGATCCCATTTTCAAGGTCACAGCAGACAAATCTGCTTTTAGAGTTGGAAAACGGTGTTGCCGGGATATCTCAAGAACTAAACACTGGATTGTCTTCATATTTGGAACTATGGTGTATATACAGACTCCGCAGACACCAGTCGGTTTTGGTGACCTTGATCCCATTTTCAAGGTCACAGCAGACAAATCTGCTTTTAGAGTTGGAAAACGGTGTTGCCGCGATATCTCAAGAACTAAACACTGGATTGTCTTCATATTTGGAACTATAGTGTATAAACAGACTCCGCAGACACCAGTCGGTTTTGGTGACCTTGATCCCATTTTCAAGGTCACAGCAGGCAAATCTGCTTTTGGAGTTGGAAAACGGTGTTGCCGCGATATCTCAAGAACTAAACACTGGATTGTCTTCATATTTGGAACTATGGTGTATATACAGACTCCGCAGACACCAGTCGGTTTTGGTGACCTTGATCCCATTTTCAAGGTCACAGCAGACAAATCTGCTTTTAGAGTTGGAAAACGGTGTTGCCGCGATATCTCAAGAACTAAACACTGGATTGTCTTCATATTTGGAACTATGGTGTATAAACAGACTCCGCAGACACCAGTCGGTTTTGGTGACCTTGATCCCATTTTCAAGGTCACAGCAGGCAAATCTGCTTTTGGAGTTGGAAAACGGTGTTGCCGCGATATCTCAAGAACTAAACACTGGATTGTCTTCATATTTGGAACTATGGTGTATATACAGACACCGCAGACACCAGTCGGTTTTGGTGACCTTGACCCCATTGTCAAGGTCACAGCAGGCAAATCTGCTTTTGGAGTTAGAAAACGGTGTTGCTGCGATATCTCAAGAACTAATCGCTGGATTGTCTTCATATTTGGAACTATAGTGTATATACAGACACCGCATACACCTGTCAGATTTGGTGACCTTGACCCCATTTTCAAGGTCACAGCAGGCAAATCTGTTTTTGGAGTTGGAAAACGGTGTTGCCACAATATCTCAAGAACTAATCGCTGGATTGTCTTCATATTTGGTACTATGGTGTACAGGCGGGGGATATTTCGTCACTCTGTGACAAATACTTGTTCTAATTTTGAGAGCGCCCTGGGCGCTTATTATGTTGAATACGGTAGATGTAATGAGAAGACCTGGAAATTATTATCCTCCACCACGAAGTGGGAGGGGAATATAGAAATAGTTGCTGTCCGTCACGTGTCGTTTACGGAGCATAACTTGGAAACTGTTTCATGTTTTATTATGAGACATTGAATATCTATCAAACACATGCTGAACAGGTGCCTTTTGATGTTTTGGTATTTCTAAAAAAATATTGTTGGTGTTTCCATTGCAACAATGTGGACTAAAATATGTGTAGCATTTGTTTCCGGAGCCTAACTCGGAAACCATTTAATATATTTTTTGGAAACTTTGCACCCTCCCTTACTCTGTGTATTTTCACTACTATGTGAAGAAGCAAAATTCCAGTGTCCCATGTCTTCAACAGTACAGATATCAATGACATTTACCAATGACTTATCTACCCCGGGGGCACGGGTGGCCCAGTCGTCTAAGGCGCTGCGATTTGCTGTGCAGAGTTGCATCCCTTGGGCATGCCAGAAACCTATGATTGTGGGTTCGAATCCCGATTCGCCCCGATTATTTTTCTAGGTTTGTCAGCACCATACCCGTGTTCGTGGGTTTCACCGAAGTGGTAAACGTCTAAGATCTGCATCACTTCGGGCTTTCCTCCCACATTAAGCTGACACGCCGCGATATAACTGAAATAATGTTAAAAGCAGCGTTAAATCCAACTCACTCACTCACTCACTCACTTATCTACCCTGTACTACTGCCATGTTAATGATGTTTACCTACGTTACAGGAGGCATTTGGGTCAGTGTACTGCATGCTGACCAGTGGTCAAGTTGTCCGAGTGGACACAGGTATTCGTTTTCCCAACGGCATCGCCATCCTGCACACAGATGATGGCCGCCCCAAGAAGCTGATCGTGGCTGAGACCCCGACCAAGTTGCTGTGGAGCTATGACATCGTGGAGCCGGGCAAGGTCAACAACAAAACCATCTGGGGACGACTGTCAGGTAATAGATGATGCTCCTCCCTGTAGCATGTTTGTTGATCCCCCACACTCAGCAGTATTCCAGCTGTATGGCGGGAGCTTGTAAATGATCAAATCTGGGCCAGACAATCCAGTGATTTAAATTATATGCAATGATCCACGTCGTGGGATATGATGACACACTATCAACCAATTCACCGAGCTTGATCAGCCAATCCATCACTTCCGATCCAAGCAACAATCTGCAGGTACTTGATCGTTGCTCAAGTTTGTCCCTTTTCCAAAGGTCACAGATCCCTCTTATTTTACAGTGAAACAATTTGCTCAACTGACTCAAGTTTTTCTGAATATGCCTGATGTCAAGTCCACTACAAAAGATTTCACTATTTCACAATTCCTAGAGGCTCAGAACCTATTTATCAATCCTCAAATGTTTGTAAATCAGGGATTTTCTGGCCGCAAAATATTATATCGTATATCCCTAAAAATTGAGGTTGGATCCAAATAATTTCCTCTGTGAGTCCCATGGGATGCAAAGATAACATTGTCAATTCAATTAGGGTCATGCAGAGAAGCATTTATGTGAAATTCCAATAACAAACCAAACATTTGTTGATTTAGGGCAAATTTTAAGTTTCTTGTAATGGCCGCTTTCACACTGACGGCAGCGATGTGACCCAGAGTGTAACGAAGGTGTCACACGCTGGGAACGAGCTTGTGCCCGTACATGTATGGTTACTCAAGTTACCTCCCTTACACTACACTATGATGACCCAGCTCGTGAGAACATCATCTATGTGATGTACAATGTCTAATTGATAGCTTTATGTCAGGTGACCACGAAGGAGGTGCAGACGGACTGGACTTCGACGCAGACAACAACCTCCTGGTAGCTCACTGGGGCAGTGGGTTTATTGAGGTTTTCAGCTGTGAGGGAGGCCAGCCCCAGAAGAGAATCAAATGTCCATTCAAGAGAACCAGCAACCTTCATTTCAAACCCAGCTCCAAAACAGTGTATGTCACTGAGCACGACAATCATGCTCTGTGGGAATTCCAGTGGGAAAACCAGGGAAAGATCCAAAAATGTGAGTTGTTGTTTGACAACTAGACGGGAGGTTGTTCAGTCTGTGTTGTTGTCCATAGGTGACCAAAGAGGGGCCGATAGTTTGGACTTCGACGAGGATGACAATCTTCTTGTTGCTCACCTTAACAGTGCTTTTATTTAAGTGTTTAGTCGAGATAGTGGAGTGCCTTATATGCGTACCTAATGTCCATTCTATAGACCAGCAACCTGCATTTTAGACTATGTTCAATCTGGTGTATGTTACGGAGCAGCAGGCCCATGGGCTGTGGATGTGTGAGTGAGTGAGAAGAGGTAATATACTCAAAGGCAAAAGAAACGGATCATATCAATATAGTGACATCTGAAAGTTTATAAAAGTTAAGATAAAACATATGTTCTTACAGATTGCGTAAACTTCAAACTGCTGTGTACACAAAACAATCACTTGTCAAGACAGACCATTGTAGTTTGATGCATTGTGTCAAGAATATTTTTGTTATATTTTCTTACAATCTATAATGGGGAATCATAAAATAACTTTTGAATTTTTTCTAAATTTCAATCTAAAAAGGCCAAACATCAGTCTATCAATTTTCAAAGGAGAAGACATTTGTTTTATACACACGGTTTAAAAAAATAAGAATAAGAACATGATCTGTTACTTGGCCTTTGAGTATAGATTTAGTCTTGTTTATGTCACTGCTAGTATATTGAAGTGTTTTGTGCACCAGTGACAAACAGTGCCATGATTCACTTGTGATGATTTTTTAACAATTTTGATGACATTATTTTTATATTTATATCCATTACAGAATTAGTTCATATCATGTGATGTCATTAGTATAGTGATTACCGCATTCGACGTAATAAGCGCCTAGGGCGCTCTCAAAATTAGAATTAGGGGGCTATATTTAGAATATTATTTTGGTGAAAAACAATAGAGTTGAAAGATCGTAAATTTCGTGGTTTATACTGACAGCCTGAAATGTTTATATACAACAGATATATTTTTCCAGAATTTAATCTCCCAAAATTAAGGGTGCATATTACACACGATTGCGTATTATACACGAATAAATGAGTCTTGTGTACATTGATCAATCGGAAGGGGTGCTAATTGGGATTGTTCACTACCCTATATATTAGAAAATTTCACTGTGGGCGCATATTACGTCGAATACGGTAATTATAATTTCCTGTGATGGAAACTGATTCATCCTTAAGAAAGGAATGGGCACAGTATGTTCTTGCTTCATCATATTTTAAAAATTGGAATGCAGGTAGAGAAGTCATCTTTTGCATTTATTTGTTTGTTCGTTTGTTTGTTGTTATATGACGACGGTCTGTAAATAATCGAGTCTGGACCAGGCAATCCAGTGATTGACATCATCCACATCAATCCACGCATTTGGTATATGATGACATGCATCAACCAAGCCAGCGAGCCTTACCATCTTATCCTGTTAGTCGCCTCTTACGACAAGCATAGTCGCCTTTTACGGCAAGCATGGGTTGCTGAAGACCTATTCTACCCCGGATCTTCATTGGTCTGCATTTGCATTGAACACATGATCACATGTCAAAGATAAATTTTGCCATTTATTACATGAAAATTATTGCTGACCTGTGTGAATATATCAGGCAGCAAAGGAAAGGGAAAAAATAACATGTCTATCTGCAGTATCTGGTGAATAAGGATTTATCAAAATAAATTGTGAAAAGAGTAGATATTGTCCCATAAAAGAGCTGATACTTTGCAAAAACAGTCAAGAACCAGCCTTTGTGAGGAAGGTCATAGAAACAAAATTCAAAAATGACTTTTAGAATGTATTTGTGCAGTGTTCAAAATAGTTTAAAAAAATATATCCTTTTTAACAATTTCTAGGCTTGGAGTAAGTGGATGATTGAATATTGTTGATGCTACATCAGGTCTTTATGGCTGGCGAGTCTGAAACTAAGAAGTTTGTATTGTATTGGTGGTGGGTTGTGAATAGTGCTGAATACAGAGTGCTGTCTGTATACAGGGTACGAAATGATGACTATTGGGAACTGACGGTTTTGCTCATTCCAGTACATATTAATGTTGATGATCAGAATGACACCAGCTCAATCTCATTAAAATCAGATCTTAGTTCTCGCTGCCACTAAACAAAGATCTGAGGACATCCCATTACGGGTCACGTCAGACCGACCTTTCGCAAACTCTGACCGACCAATGGAATTACTGACAAGAAGTAGACATAAGCCAATCAGAAGGCAGCTTTCTTGTGCTTTACAGCGCTAATTTCAAATTGGCGACTACGCTTAGAAACATATTTTGACAAATTCTCGCTTAAAAAATTGAAACCTGAACAAAAGAACGTTCTTGATGGCTCATATATGGTCTAGATTGTATAGATTCAGTCGTTAAGCCCGTAACTATCGTTTGGAATACCCCGTTTTAACGTTTTCGAGGATGCATGATTAGAAATCGCATTCCGACTGTCACTTTCATGATCTGGTAAGCGACGCTCTGATTGGTCGGATGAAAGGTCGTTCTGACTTGACCCCTAATGGGATGTCCTCAGATCTTTGTTTAGTGATAGCGAGAACTAAGATCTGATTTATAATGAGATTGGACACCAGCTCAAAGATACCTGTGACCAGGTAATGGAAGAGCACCTATGGCAGATTTAACATACAAGCACCCATAGAAGATTTAACATACAGCACCTGCGCCCTGTCAATCTGCAGGTAATTCTATGTATCCTTGCTTCAACATTCCCAAACTACAAGCAAGTGGTGTTTTTATTTATGTTGTTTTCCTGTCTTTTGGGAAGTTATGTTTCTATGAATGTACAACTATTATGGTCATATTTAACAAATATGTGTTTTCCATATTTATTCTATCTTCATATGCTTATAAAATTGATCTCTAGTCCAAATGTTTAACAATGTATAATGACATTTTATTTATATCAAAATATATAGTTAACAAAACAGATTTGATCTTTGTGTTTTGTAATAATAGGTAATTTGCATATTTGACTTCTAATGCCGAAATATTGGGATCTATCTAGTTTCACTTTGAGTGACTGAATGTTGTATGATCTGCAGTCACCAATATTGGAGCTAATCATGACATCTAGGCAAAGATGACAGTTGAACATGTTGATAACTCACACCATCACAAGTGACACGGGGGGGCACGGGTGGCCCAGTCGTTTAGGCGCCGCGATTTGCTGTGCAGAGTTGTGTCCCCTGGACACACCAGAAACCTATGATTGTGGGATTGAATCCCACATCGCCCCGATTATGTTTCTAGGTTTGTCAGCACCATACCCGTGCTCGTGGGTTTCATCGAAGTGGTAAACGTCTGAGACCTGCATCACTCCTGGCTCTCCTACCACATTAATCTGCCACGCCGTGATATAACTGGAATACTGTTAAAAGCGGCGTTAAACCCTTCTCACAACAGTGACACAGAGAGTCTGGTTGTACATTGTCACCATGTTTAATATGGCTGTTGTGACAGAGATTGTACTGATGTACTAGAGTCCTCTGCCCTCAAATACCCAAAGGGTACATTGCATCTTCCCGAGGGAAGGGAGTTCACGGACTGTAAAAGTCCAGTTTCAACCCTTTCCAAACTAGGCTGGAATTAGGCAGTTATATTTTGGCTGGACTAACAAGCTCTGCATTGTCCAATCAAAATCGACATCCGGTTCGGAAACTGCCATGCAGATTTTGGTTCATTGCGGGATTTGCAAGCATGAGTACCGTCAATTTAGCAACAACAGATATTTTGTTACAATATAGATATAGATCATCGATCCGATCTTCACTGGGCACGGCCATATTGTTTGAAGCAAATGGAAATGGTATCAGAGGTGGAATCTAATTGGTAAGAGGAGGGACATAAAAGGCAATAGCTACTGGTGGAGCGACAATCAAACCCAGAAATTCCGGCCAAGTTTGGCAAGGTTTGAAACTGGACTTTTACAGTCAGTTAACTCCTTTGCCTCGGGAAGATGGGTACATTGCAGTGATTTGTTTTTATCCCCCGCCGCGCGAAAGCGCGAAGCGGGGGATATAGTATTCACGACCGTCCGTCCCACCTGTTTGTTGCCGCGATATCTCAAGAACTAAACACTGGATTGTCTTCATATTTGGAACTATGGTGTATATACAGACTCCACAGACACCAGTCGGTTTTGGTGACCTTGATCCCATTTTCAAGGTCACAGCAGACAAATCTGCTTTTAGAGTTGGAAAAGAGTGTTGCCGCGATATCTCAAGAACTAAACACTGGATTGTCTTCATATTTGGAACTATGGTGTATATACAGACACCGCAGACACCAGTCGGTTTTGGTGACCTTGACCCCATTTTCAAGGTCACAGCAGGCAAATCTGCTTTGGAGTTGGAAAACGGTGTTGCCGCGATATCTCAAGAACTAAACACTGGATTGTCTTCATATTTGGAACTATAGTGTATATACAGACTCCGCAGACACCAGTCGGTTTTGGTGACCTTGATCCCATTTTCAAGGTCACAGCAGACAAATCTGCTTTTAGAGTTGGAAAAGAGTGTTGCCGCGATATCTCAAGAACTAAACACTGGATTGTCTTCATATTTGGAACTATGGTGTATATACAGACACCGCAGACACCAGTCGGTTTTGGTGACCTTGATCCCATTTTCAAGGTCACAGCAGGCAAATCTGCTTTGGAGTTGGAAAACGGTGTTGCCGCGATATCTCAAGAACTAAACACTGGATTGTCTTCATATTTGGAACTATAGTGTATATACAGACTCCGCAGACACCAGTCGGTTTTGGTGACCTTGATCCCATTTTCAAGGTCACAGCAGGCAAATCTGCTTTTAGAGTTGGAAAACGGTGTTGCCGCGATATCTCAAGAACTAAACCTCTCGATTGTCTTCATATTTGGAACTATGGTGTATATACAGACACCGCAGACACCAGTCGGTTTTGGTGACCTTGACCCCATTTTCTAGGTCACAGCAGGCAAATCTGCTTTTGGAGTTAGAAAACGGTGTTGCTGCGATATCTCAAGAACTAATCGCTGGATTGTCTTCATATTTGGAACTATAGTGTATATACAGACACCGCATACACCTGTCAGATTTGGTGACCTTGACCCCATTTTCAAGGTCACAGCAGGCAAATCTGTTTTTGGAGTTGGAAAACGGTGTTGCCACAATATCTCAAGAACTAATCGCTGGATTGTCTTCATATTTGGTACTATGGTGTATATGGCGGGGGATATTTCGTCACTGTGACAAATGCTTGTTTTGCTTAAGACCACACTCAAGGCATATGACGATGACCTGTAAATAATCGAGTCTGGACCAGACAAACCAGTGAATCATTTTCTCAGCAATGTCCCATACCATCAGGGTATGATGACAACTGATAAACCAAATCACCGAGTCAGACCACCTGAGCTGCCTCCTATGACAAACATAGGTCTACAGGGACTTTACATCTGCATATTCAACAAATGAGGCAAACCAGTGGTTGATAGCATGAGCATTGGTCCAAGCTATTGTGCATGACGACATTCATCCTGGGGCTTGTTCCACAAAGTGGTCTTAGTGCTAAGGTGATTGTTACTCCCACACTTCAACATAAGCTTACGACAGCCATAGCGCTAATATTGCTTTGTGGAGTGAGCTCCAGATTTTGCATTGTAGATCTCACATGCAGTCCTCTTGAAGCAAGCATTGGGTACGGAGGACCAAATTCTAGCCCAGAATACCTGTGGGGGTCTAGTCTAGCTCTCTAAGTTCAGACTCAATCTGACCAATCATGAAACAAACACACCAGACTTGCCACATTTTAACAAGAAATTTATTCTATTATACACAGAATATGGCAAACATTCATCCAGAATATGTTACGGTGACACACAGCTGTTGCAGCTATTCACAGTAGAATTTGATGATAATAACAAGTCTATGGTCTACTCAAGGGCC